AAGCCCTTGTATTATTCTTAATCTTTTAGAATTTAAACATTTTATATTTTTTCAGTTCCCTTGTTATTGAATATGTATGTAGGAAAGTTACACTTTTAAGTAAGCAAGCTAATGAAAGAAAATGTACCATTTTAATATTTTCAAACATCTGTAAAGTAGTTCACTATTTTGTTAGCATTTTCCTAGTGACACCTTTTAAAGGACTCTAGTGAGTGTCTTAAATGTTCATTAAACCCCCATCCAGATATTTTTCCGGAAAAGTAAATTTCATCATGCTCTTCCAAAAAGTTAATAGGAGGGTTCTGGCATCAAATTGCTGTTGAATCCCTTCCACTTCTACAAATTTCCTTGCAGACTGAGAGAGTGTGTAACCTCAATCTCTCCTTTGTCTCTACTTTTAGCTTAGCTCTTTAAATTCTGACATAGTAGTTAACCTACATCAAGACCCGAAATTTTACTCTAAATGGGCAACTGTACATATGTTTATGCATAGGCTGGTGACTAACAGCTTCTGTGTACACTATGTAGATGATTAAAGGCTCCTGTGATTTTATTTGGCCTGATTCTTAGACTCTCCAGAGAGTTTATCTCCTCCACATACAAATGTCTCTTTAATATCCAAATGCTTTCTGTGCACAGAGGAGGTAGGCTACAGGGAGAGGTCAAACAGTGGGAAAATATTTCTAAAAAAGTATATATGCAATTTGAAAAACAAAATTGCCTCATAAAATGCTATTGCTTAGGAGAAAGGTTCTCCTATGACAGGTTCTTTTATGTAGTGACTCTCCATAGCATATGTGGATGCATTCAGATAAAAAAATATGTTCAACTACATATTTATAACTTATTGAAAGAAGATAAGCCCAAACCATCCAAACATCACATGTGCTGCCCCAGTTATATGGTACTTTTGCCCAAGTACAAGGGGCTTAGGATGGTATCCACAGAAATCCAAACGACATGTGGCTGCAGTTTATTTCTCCTTCAAATACTCCAGGGTCAGAGTTTAAGAAGCTCTAGTGTGGTTGCAACATCACACTATTAATAGAAACTGCACTTTAAAGAATGAAGGCTGTAATTCTACATGTGGCTATACAGTAACGTGCATGAACTCAGCAGTCCCTAGGTATACCATCTCCTGAACAACACCCACACGTTGCTGGGGGCACATGATTGTTTCCCTCTGACAGCTGCATCTCCTTGGGGCAGAGTTCCATCAGGGTCCTCTGCTAGGAACCATTTTACACTGCCCTGTTGTCAGTACAGGGCTGTGGTGTGTTGACAAGAGCATCTCAACTGGACTAAGCTCCTGGGACCAGATTCAGATTTTAGATGTTTAATGCTCACACAGTGGAAGCCCATGTAAATCTCAGTGTGTGGAGGTAAGGTTTCTTCTACCCTTTGAGCTATTGGTTTACTTTCTGATCGCTTCCTCTACTCCTGCTTTTAGATAATATCATACAGAATGACTTGCCTTTTGCTCCTAAACTGTGATTTTTATTTTTTAATTTCACAAACTAGAGCTGAAAAGGACTCTTGCTTTGTCTAATCTCAGCCGACTGTTCCCCATAGAATATTTCCTTTAGTTCTTAGGACAAACTGCAGCATTTCAGCATTCTTGTTAAAAGCCAGCCTCAACCCACTGCCCTACCAGTAACCAGGCGCCACCCACTTGCCTGTCCCGGTATGAGTGTGTAGGAGCACAACTGCAGCCAACCTAGTAACCTTGACTCTGAGTGGCAAAGATTATCATAATTCTCTTCGAAGAGGACCTGGAGCCTGAAGCAAGAAGGCTGAGTCTACGTGACTAAAGCATACCAACTTCCTCTTTCATAAGTCATCACATGATGAACTACAATTACAATTCCTGCCTTGTCTCTGCGAATTGCAGACGCATTGCCTCATCCTAGAAACCCTGCTCCTGTGTGTGGAGGAGGCGGCTCTAACTGCTGCAGCAGCCGCATTGGAAGGCATCCAACTTCAGTCTGTGCCGGGAGGGAGGACGGTGGGTGGAAGACAAAAACAAAGCTATGTTTACTTAGCATAGATCGATAAAGCTGCTTCAGAGCTACATGAAAGGCCAGGCAGCATGAAAGACTTTTGATACAATATAAGGAATTGCTGCCCTGGATCCAGAATCAGGCTTAACCCCCTCCATCCCGGATCCTTCTATGGCAAGAGATCAGAACTAAAATAGCCTTTCTATTTTCTAGCAGGCATTTCATTAGGGAAGTTAAAACAATTCAGTTTCAACATTACACTGATACGTAAAATCAAAGAGAAATGCTCTTCATTTGGAGAAAAGCTCTGTTCTACAAAAATCCTTACTTAATACCTCTCAAGACAGAATTTGTAGCTCAGTGTTTCTATTTTGGAAAAGAGCCACAGGCTTTCCCTGGAGGGTATTACAGTATCCGTTTGCAGGTAAATGAGAATAATTAGGCCATGGCTCTAACGCCTTGTTCTCTTTGAATGTTTCAGTCACTGTCTGGTGGGGCCATCTCTTGGGGGTGGTAGATGGCTCATCTCTCCATAGTACAAAGTCTGGGCCTCATACCCTCTGGGCAGTGGCCGGGTGGGAAGTCACATGCTAAAATAAATGGCACAGGGTCTCCATGCAGTGACCACAGGGATGGGTCCTGAACAAGGTACGAGACAGCAGGACCCAGGAATAACCAAAACCACTGGCATCGGCTGCTCCCGGGAAGGATCTGGTTATGTCCTATTCCCCTAGCTAGGAGAGGGTGCGGTGGAATTGGTACTGCAGGGCAAGATCCTGGAACATATGGGATGACAATGCAGATGGGGTGCACTTTATGGCGAGTGCACCTCTGGAAATGCCCAAGAGAAGACATTCAGGATTAGCCTGGGAAAACATTTAGGTCTGGCATTCCGTTTTCTGTGCCATTTTCGAACAGGTTTTTTCGTGTGCTTTAAGCAATTCCCTTCACTGTTTCTCTCAGGGTGTTTTTTTTCTCTTCCTTGTGGTTAATCCTTTGAAGCAACTTGGCATTTTCAATAGCAACAACTAGAAAGAAACGTCAGCAGGATTTTTTCTCTCCACCTACCAATCCAGTTGCAGGCAAGATAATATAATTAGTACCCTGTTCTTCCCACACTTAACCAGCCCATTCCAGTCTCAAGAGACAGATGTAGGCCTGTTTTCCAAAAGCAGCAGCTCGAAGCCGCTCTTATGGAGTTGCAGTGTAAAAAGGCCCAACTGAGAGTGACTAAGTCCGCGTCTATTAGAAAGACTAACGACCAGTCAGAAGTGATTTACCATAACACACACCAGCTCCTCCTCCCGATAAGTGTGAAACTGAAGCGCTCACTACAGTCTGGGCAGTCTGTGGCTGCCAGCCGCGGCCGCGCAGGGTACGCCGGGCAGGCTCTGCGGCCGCGCCCCGCCTGTGCACCCAACAGGGGCTACCCTGGCCTTGGCCGCGCAGTGGGCGCAGGGCCGCTCCCGTCCGCCAACGGCGAATCCCTCAGGCCAGCCGGCCGGCCACTACCCAGAATACGCCCGCGCTCCGCGCCACCTCGAGTCCAAGTTTGGACTCGGGAACGGTGCCAGAGGCTCCGCGGCACCCTTGGGGCGGAGCCTGCGCGGTGACGTGGCCGCGCTGGCCGTAGACCGCGGATCCCTGGAATGTGCATTCGTTCAATGAGGCCGCCAGTGCCAGCACCGCCTAGTCACGTCCGCGCGGAGCGTGCGCACTCGGCGGCGGCGGCCGCGCACGAGGCTCTCGGTCCCGTGCTCACGTCACGCGCTCGCCCCGCGGTCCTGCTTAAGAAAGCCTGGCTGGCTGGCGTCGCCGAGATCCCAGCTCAGCTGGGCGGTCAGTGGGCAGCTGGCCGGGGAGGAAGGGAGAGTGGGGCTTAACGAGGGCTTTATCCGGTGGGCGCTCCCGCCCCCTTCCAGAAGGTCCCCCTACGAACCACACTCGGCTGTGTTAGTAAAACTTAAGGGACCGGCGGCGCGTGTCCCTCCCCAGACAAATGCAAGGGTAAAATCACTTACTGAAGAGTTCAAATATAACTCCGGAAAACAAAACCCCAAAACTGTAGACCACACTAGATTTTAAAATCCTCATCCTCAAGAGACAACCGGCAGAACCAAGTTACAAGCCGGCCTTGCTTCTAAAAACATGAGTGTTCGCACGGTTTGGCCCAAATGAACCTGGAGGGGAGTAACTCCTGAACAGCCGCGGTAGCCGGCTCCGCTGGGGTAAAGCGAACAACGCTTGCATCGCGTTCATGTCGGGGACACAGACCACGGCGCTGACCCGCGGGCGCCGCGGAGCCAGCTCTCCCAGCAGCTCGTTCCCCACGCGGAGGGTGGGGAGGGCGCGGGCGCGGGCGCGGGGAAGGGCGGGCGGGCGCGGGCGCGGGCGCGGGGAAGGGCGGGCGGGCGCGCGCGCGCGCGCAGGGGAGGGGGGCCCGCGCAGGCGCCGTGCGAGGCTATCGAAGAATCAAGTCTGTAGAAGTGGAGCGGCCGCGGCGGCGGCGGCGGCGGTAGCGGCAGCGGCAGCAGCAGTGACGGTGGCGGCGAAGCTGAGGCGGGCTGGGCTCTGACGCGGGCGCTGGAGAGCGGCGACGCCAGGAGCTGTGAGAGAGCAGCGGAGCGACCCGGGGCCCGCGCCGCGCCGGAGCTCCACGCCGCCAGGCAGCCGCCGCCGACGCCTCCGCGCGGCATGCCCCGCCACTCCGTCTGAGCCTGCCCCGGAGGCCGCCCCCTGCCCCCCCGGCCTCCCCGCCCCCCGCCCCTCACTCCGCGCCGGCCGCCGCCGCGACCTGCTGCGCATCCCCGCGCCTGTGTGGCCCGTCTTCGCCCCGGTCTGGAGGCCCGCCGCGGCCCCGGCCGAGCCCCCGCCGCCGCGCCCGCCGCGCCGCGCAGCCCCGTCGCCCGCCCGCGCCGGCCAAGGGGACGTGTTGCCGCGGGTGCAGCCCCTCGCCCCGCGCGTGTCGCCCCTGGTGCACCGGCGGCGCTGCGCGGGCGCCGAGCCTTCGCGGGCTTTGCCGCCGCCGCCGCTGGTGGGGGAGACGCGGGGTTGGGGGGGGAGGAGGGCGCGCGTGGTGCCGGCGGGGAGCGGCGGCGCCCCCTCCTCCTCCTCCTCCTCCTCCGGCACCGCGGGCTCCTCGGACATGGCCGCGGCGGTGGCGGTGGCGGCCGCGTCCCGGCGGCAGTCGTGCTACCTGTGTGACCTGCCCCGGATGCCCTGGGCCATGATCTGGGACTTCACCGAGCCCGTGTGCCGCGGCTGCGTCAACTACGAGGGTGCCGACCGCGTCGAGTTCGTCATCGAGACGGCGCGGCAGCTCAAGCGGGCACACGGCTGCTTCCCGGAGGGCCGCTCCCCGCCCGGCGCCGTAGCCACGGCCGCCGCCAAGCCGCCGCCGCTCTCGGCCAAGGACATCCTCCTGCAGCATCCTCAGCCGCTTGGCCACGGCGGCCCCGAGGCATCCCCGCGCGCCCCTCAGGCACTGGAGCGCTATCCCCTGGCGGCCGCCGCCGAGCGGCCCCCGCGCCTCGGCTCCGACTTTAGCGGTAGCCGCCCGGCCGCTGGCCTGGCCCAGCCGCCGCCGCCGCAGCCGCCGCCAGTGAACGGCATCCTGGTGCCCAACGGCTTCTCCAAGCTGGAGGACCCGCCCGAGCTGAATCGCCAGAGCCCGAACCCGCGGCGCGGCCACGTTGTGCCACCTACCCTGGTGCCGCTCATGAATGGCTCGGCCGCGCCACTGCCCGCCGCGCTCGGCCTCAGCGGCCGCGCCGCCGCCTCCCTAGCTGCGGTGTCCGGGGCAGCGGCCGCCGGCCTGGGCTCGGCGCAGCCGGGAGAACTGGGCGCCCACAAGCGGCCGGCGTCCGTGTCGAGCAGCGCGGCCGTGGAGCACGAACAGCGCGAGGCAGCGGCCAAGGAGAAGCAGCCGCCGCCGCCCTCGCATCGCGGCCCGGCCGACAGCCTGTCCACGGCTGCCGGGGCCGCCGAGCTGGGCACAGAGGGCGCGGGCAAAAGCCGCGGGCCCGGAGAGCAGGACTGGGTCAACAGGCCTAAGACAGTGCGAGACACGCTGCTGGCGCTGCACCAGCACGGCCACTCGGGGCCCTTCGAGAGCAAGTTTAAGAAGGAGCCGACCCTGACTGCAGGCAGGTTGTTGGGTTTCGAGGCCAACGGGGCCAACGGGTCTAAAGCAGGTAGGGGCGGCTGTGGAGTAAGGGAATCTAGGGGAAGACGGGACTGGAGAGCAAGGAGAGGGTGCCCTTTCCATTCACCATTCTACCCCAGCCCAGAAACAACAAACACCCAACTTCCTGATCTGCCTGAGGCGGAACCAGTGTTTAGTGGCAACGTGTTCATGTGCTGAAGCAGCATAACAGAGATGAGTCAGACTGGGCTGAGGCACTGACACAGGGTTTTCCTTTCCCAGCACATTGTTGGATGGGAGCATGAGGGCCCGGGTCACTTTTAACCTGTTGGGAGACATTAACAATCATATGCACTTTCCAACCTGGGTACGGGCATGCATATGTAAAAACAGGCACCTGTACACGTGCCAGTTTGTGTGGCTTTTAAAAAGTGGTACACTGCCCTAGAGCCTCATTAGTCTCTATTTTTAAGTTGCACGTGCACTTGAAATGCATAAGTTTATATACAAGCTTTTAGAGAACAAATTTTTCAGTGAGTTTTGTTTCACATTAGTAAAAGATCCTTTTCAGTGTGCATTCATTTATTTCCTCTTTTTCCTTCTCTTTTCCAGTTGCAAGAACAGCAAGGAAGAGGAAGCCTTCTCCAGAACCAGAAGGTGAAGTTGGGCCCCCTAAGATCAATGGGGAGGCACAGCCTTGGCTGTCTACATCCACAGAAGGGCTCAAGATGCCCATTACTTCTACATCGTCTTTTGTGTCGCCACCACCACCCACTGCCTCACCTCATTCCAACCGGACCACACCGCCTGAAGCGGCCCAGAATGGCCAGTCCCCTATGGCAGCCCTCATCTTAGTAGCAGACAATGCAGGGGGCAGTCATGCCTCAAAAGATGCCAACCAGGTTCACTCCACTACCAGGAGGAATAGCAACAGTCCACCCTCTCCGTCCTCTATGAACCAAAGAAGGCTAGGCCCCAGAGAGGTGGGGGGCCAGGGTGCAGGCAGCACTGGAGGACTGGAGCCTGTGCACCCTGCCAGCCTCCCGGACTCCTCCCTGGCAGCCAGTGCACCCCTGTGCTGTACCCTCTGCCACGAGCGGCTGGAGGACACTCACTTTGTGCAGTGCCCGTCTGTCCCTTCGCACAAGTTCTGCTTCCCTTGCTCCAGACAAAGCATCAAACAGCAGGGAGCTAGTGGAGAGGTCTATTGTCCCAGTGGGGAAAAATGTCCTCTTGTGGGCTCCAATGTCCCCTGGGCCTTTATGCAAGGGGAAATTGCAACCATCCTTGCTGGAGATGTGAAAGTGAAAAAAGAGAGAGACTCGTGATTTTCTGGTTTCAGAAAAACCTAATGATTACCCTTAACTAAAACTGCTTGAATTGTATCTCTCTCTCTCTCTCTCTCTCTATATATATATATATCCAAGACAAGGGAAATGTAGACTTCATAACATGGCTGTATAATTTTGATTTTTTTTAATACATTGTGTTTCTACATTTTTTTTTGACAACAAAAGGTATGTACTTATAAAGGCATTTTCTTCTTTCATAACATTAGCTTATATTTGTGCTTTATTATTCTGGTGACAGTTACCGTTCAATGTAGGCTATGACTTGCGCTGCTTTTTTTAGAGCACTTGGCAAATCTGAAATGCTTCTAACTGTATTTGTATGCACTTATTTTAAAAGGAAAAAAAATGCCAAATACATTTTCTGACATTGTAAGATTGCCTTACTGTCTGTTCTTCCTTATTTGCTGGCCCCTTTCTCAGGCTGGAGGCCAATTGGTGGAGAAGGAAAGGAGATAAGTGAAAGGGACACTGTTGTGAAGTGGGCATACCACTGGGAAATATCACCAAGTATTCCCCATAATGTTGTCCTCCTAGACTAATAGGAAAAGAGATTCGAATCTTTCTCTATTTTGTTCTGAAAGTTTTAAAAGTTGGAATATTGGTGACTGCCTGAGAGTTGCTGCTGAGAAATTTTCAGGGCCATGTGGTTTTGGTGGGGGAAGCGGGGGGGAGGTTTAAGACAAAGTTGACCACCACTCGCTGCCCACATGATCAGTTGTGAGATTACAATGCTGCATGCTAGTTGGTTACATAATACACAGTCCAGTGACTGAGGGCGGTGATAATGGATGGTGGTGTGTACAGGGTGGCACTGCCATCTTTGAACAGAGCCTGGCTCTGCAGCGCCACTTCATCTTTTCAGACACTCTAGAGCTCTGTCTGTCTGTTCCTTTGAGAGAGTTGCAAGAGAACTTACGGTCCAGGTGAACTTGGAGATTGTGGGATTGGTTTTGTTCTGTTTTGTGTTTCGTTTTGTTTTTCATCATTTACCTGTAGTGCTTTTGCTGTTGATACTATCACCCACACCGTTTCTAGTGAGTGCTAAATACAGTATGGTACAGTGACAGGAACCACGCTTGGTGCTGCCAGGACTGCCCGTGGGCATATCGGTGACAGCCCAGATGGAGGTGAAGGAACCCTGTAATTTCCTTCTTAACGTGTGTTTGATACCAAGTGAATAATAATACTGTTCTTTTGAAAAAAAAAGTGATAAACTAGTGAAAATTAAAGAAAGGGTTTTACATAATAGGCCCCACCTCAAACTATTTTTAGAAGCTTTTGTAAACTAATTTCTTTTGATCACTCTTTTGCATCAGTAAAATGATTTTTTTAAACCAATAAATCATCATATACTAGAAATAGTTGTCTCACAGTGATACTGGTTTTTCTTTTGTGCTGTTATGATTTAACATTGGCAGGAGCACTATTTGGAATTCTCTTTTCGGGTGTTTGTAACTTGGCCCTATAATTAGGCTGAATCATGGCTTCAAGATATACTACAAGTTAACTTGTATTATTCACACCTAGCCTCTGTTTTCATTTGAAAGTATAGATTGTTACCCACTTTGGATTCTTTTTTAGTTATGTTTTTGTCTTTCTTAAATTGCTCAAATATTTTTTAGTGATCGAGTTATTAACACTTGAAAATCAGATACTGCACCAAATACAGTATTTTTTGGTAGTGTTTTTAATGAGTTCACCTATTCTTAATGTGCAAATTCATGTAACTGGTCATTGTTATATTACAGACTTGCATGATTAACCAGTTTGTTGTTATACTTTTTTTTTAATTGGACTATCTGTGACTCAGATCAGACTGGTTTCTCTTATGGAAATGCACACGTGCAGAAACACAGAATCAGTTTTACATGCGCATAAAGACATTTGTAAAGAATTCAACTATTATGGTTTGTTGTATAAATGTGTATTTAGGCACTTTATTATAAACTGGAATTTGACCTCATTGACGTTACAAGTTGATCAGTCATTTGACCTAATATGTGGCAGCCATCTGTATATTTTGCAATCAATACAGATAAGCTTTCCAAAATGATTAATGAAGAAACATCCTGCTGTTTTTGAATGTCTGTTCAGCTGTGGAAAAGACAAGCTATGGGTTCCTCTGTACTGGTGTTAAGGGGTTAAAGCGCTGTGTGCTGAGGTTACTTTTATTAAAAACTAGGTCTGCACAGGTGTGACTGGCCCTTGGGGGGCCTTTGTGGAAGGCTTGCAGCTGTAAAGTGTTGATCTGTGTTACTTTTTTGACATTCTCATAAGCTTAAAAGTTAATAACATTGGGACATGGTTTTGATCTTGTGCTGTACCTGATGACAGTGCAGAGATTCTCCACAGCTGGATAAAATGTCAGAAAGCTACTTACTGTACTGGGCAGTATCAGATTTCAAATCCTAGTATTTCAGCTGTGCTTTTAATACTCAAAATATTAGGGGTTGGGGTATTGAAGCTTTCCCCTTTTTGCTTTAACAATTTATAGAATTTAACAGATGTACTTCTTTCATGTGGCCTCACATTAAAAGTTATGAGAACATACACATGGTTTACAACTTTTACTATATACCTTTCCTTGGCCACCAAGTATTTTAAAAGTGTGCCACCTTTTAACCTTTACTTTTTTTCAAGTTAAAGGTGATAACTTTTTCTATATATGATGAAACTCATGTCAACTGAAGTGAGTGTAAGCTCGGATATCAACATTATTATATTTTAAAATCACGCTATGGAACTATCACCTGCTTACTGTCATTTGTCAGATTTACAGTACTTTTTTTTTTCTTTAACTTTTAGCATTAAATAAAAATAAAATTGGGATCACTGAACATTTTCTGAGGCCTTTTTTAATTTTTTAAGGTAAGCTTAGAATGGCTATTGTTTTCATCACTAATGGCAACATGGGACCAAACGATGTGTGGGTTGGGGGTTGAGGGTTGACTGGAGCTGCAAAAGAACAGGAGATGAAAGACAGAACAAAAGGGCAAACTAATCGCAGAGGAAAAAAAGTTAACGGACTGGGGAAAGGTCAACTGGATGGAGGAACAGATAAAGAGGAGAGCTGAACAAAGTACAGCCAGACAGCACTTGTTTGTTTCTCAACTTGCAGTAGAGCCAGCCATTCTGCAATAGTAGATTGGCAGAAGACTGACAACACTGAACAGACTGTCAGGACATGGAACTGCTCTCTGGGAAGCTTTGGAATGAAACAGCCACTTCAGGCCATATGAAACGCACTGAAGACAAAAGGGATAAGACACCTAACCTTTGGAAATCTTTGGAATAAAGTCAGAGCTAAAGACACGTGAGCTTTACTAAGTATCCTGAAATTAAATTTATAAATAGAGATCAAAGGTGGAAAGCACTAAGACAAATTTACAAATTGCTGGCTAGTATCACATAGAAACTTCCTAGATGTTTGCAGCTTTTACTGTTTGTTGATCAATGGCTTGGCAGACTTTTCTATGAAAGGAAGTTGTGAAAATTATAAAGAGTTTGAGAATAGAACATTTGTAGACTTTAATGTTCTAAATGAAACAGCAACATTGATGTATGACTGTATTTTCATTAGGGGTAGTCCAGTAACTTGGAGGACCCATCACTACATGTATTTTAACAACTTTTTAGTTAGTAGCAGGCCATTTAAGGCAGCTTTCAAGAAACATTTTTAATAAGTAATAGATTATAATGCACATGATATTGAGTAATTAGGTTAAGAAAAATGTTAAACTTTTAACAATGCAAAATTTTATTTTTGGTGAAATTTAAAACAGTGCAGCTTGCAGAAGTCATTTTTAAAATTTCAAAAACTCCTTCCAAAGTAAACTTTAATGCCTGCATTCACTTTTCAGTTAAAAACAAACCAGCTTCTTGATGTGGCAGATGTCTTTGTTTATTCCCTGAAGAGGGGAAAAAGTTAAAGGGGAAATATGGAATTACTTTTAATTCCTAGACTTTTAAGTCTCTTGTTACTCAGAGTTGTTTTGCATATGATTTATAGATGGTTTTATTTGGTTAGTGGAGAGTAAAATGTTTCTCTTCCTGATTCCAAAGTGTATACGTGGGATCATTCAGAAAAATGTTTAGTTGTGTGTAGGCCACTAGAAGTCCTGAGTCACCCTCATTTGCTTGCCTTTTCTTCATAGGGAACAGTGTGAGAAGACACGCCTTTCCTCTGCCACAGACTAAAGTCAAAGTCAGAGGCACCAGTGAATGGAATACATATTTNAACAACAAACACCCAACTTCCTGATCTGCCTGAGGCGGAACCAGTGTTTAGTGGCAACGTGTTCATGTGCTGAAGCAGCATAACAGAGATGAGTCAGACTGGGCTGAGGCACTGACACAGGGTTTTCCTTTCCCAGCACATTGTTGGATGGGAGCATGAGGGCCCGGGTCACTTTTAACCTGTTGGGAGACATTAACAATCATATGCACTTTCCAACCTGGGTACGGGCATGCATATGTAAAAACAGGCACCTGTACACGTGCCAGTTTGTGTGGCTTTTAAAAAGTGGTACACTGCCCTAGAGCCTCATTAGTCTCTATTTTTAAGTTGCACGTGCACTTGAAATGCATAAGTTTATATACAAGCTTTTAGAGAACAAATTTTTCAGTGAGTTTTGTTTCACATTAGTAAAAGATCCTTTTCAGTGTGCATTCATTTATTTCCTCTTTTTCCTTCTCTTTTCCAGTTGCAAGAACAGCAAGGAAGAGGAAGCCTTCTCCAGAACCAGAAGGTGAAGTTGGGCCCCCTAAGATCAATGGGGAGGCACAGCCTTGGCTGTCTACATCCACAGAAGGGCTCAAGATGCCCATTACTTCTACATCGTCTTTTGTGTCGCCACCACCACCCACTGCCTCACCTCATTCCAACCGGACCACACCGCCTGAAGCGGCCCAGAATGGCCAGTCCCCTATGGCAGCCCTCATCTTAGTAGCAGACAATGCAGGGGGCAGTCATGCCTCAAAAGATGCCAACCAGGTTCACTCCACTACCAGGAGGAATAGCAACAGTCCACCCTCTCCGTCCTCTATGAACCAAAGAAGGCTAGGCCCCAGAGAGGTGGGGGGCCAGGGTGCAGGCAGCACTGGAGGACTGGAGCCTGTGCACCCTGCCAGCCTCCCGGACTCCTCCCTGGCAGCCAGTGCACCCCTGTGCTGTACCCTCTGCCACGAGCGGCTGGAGGACACTCACTTTGTGCAGTGCCCGTCTGTCCCTTCGCACAAGTTCTGCTTCCCTTGCTCCAGACAAAGCATCAAACAGCAGGGAGCTAGTGGAGAGGTCTATTGTCCCAGTGGGGAAAAATGTCCTCTTGTGGGCTCCAATGTCCCCTGGGCCTTTATGCAAGGGGAAATTGCAACCATCCTTGCTGGAGATGTGAAAGTGAAAAAAGAGAGAGACTCGTGATTTTCTGGTTTCAGAAAAACCTAATGATTACCCTTAACTAAAACTGCTTGAATTGTATCTCTCTCTCTCTCTCTCTCTCTATATATATATATATCCAAGACAAGGGAAATGTAGACTTCATAACATGGCTGTATAATTTTGATTTTTTTTAATACATTGTGTTTCTACATTTTTTTTTGACAACAAAAGGTATGTACTTATAAAGGCATTTTCTTCTTTCATAACATTAGCTTATATTTGTGCTTTATTATTCTGGTGACAGTTACCGTTCAATGTAGGCTATGACTTGCGCTGCTTTTTTTAGAGCACTTGGCAAATCTGAAATGCTTCTAACTGTATTTGTATGCACTTATTTTAAAAGGAAAAAAAATGCCAAATACATTTTCTGACATTGTAAGATTGCCTTACTGTCTGTTCTTCCTTATTTGCTGGCCCCTTTCTCAGGCTGGAGGCCAATTGGTGGAGAAGGAAAGGAGATAAGTGAAAGGGACACTGTTGTGAAGTGGGCATACCACTGGGAAATATCACCAAGTATTCCCCATAATGTTGTCCTCCTAGACTAATAGGAAAAGAGATTCGAATCTTTCTCTATTTTGTTCTGAAAGTTTTAAAAGTTGGAATATTGGTGACTGCCTGAGAGTTGCTGCTGAGAAATTTTCAGGGCCATGTGGTTTTGGTGGGGGGAGCGGGGGGGAGGTTTAAGACAAAGTTGACCACCACTCGCTGCCCACATGATCAGTTGTGAGATTACAATGCTGCATGCTAGTTGGTTACATAATACACAGTCCAGTGACTGAGGGCGGTGATAATGGATGGTGGTGTGTACAGGGTGGCACTGCCATCTTTGAACAGAGCCTGGCTCTGCAGCGCCACTTCATCTTTTCAGACACTCTAGAGCTCTGTCTGTCTGTTCCTTTGAGAGAGTTGCAAGAGAACTTACGGTCCAGGTGAACTTGGAGATTGTGGGATTGGTTTTGTTCTGTTTTGTGTTTCGTTTTGTTTTTCATCATTTACCTGTAGTGCTTTTGCTGTTGATACTATCACCCACACCGTTTCTAGTGAGTGCTAAATACAGTATGGTACAGTGACAGGAACCACGCTTGGTGCTGCCAGGACTGCCCGTGGGCATATCGGTGACAGCCCAGATGGAGGTGAAGGAACCCTGTAATTTCCTTCTTAACGTGTGTTTGATACCAAGTGAATAATAATACTGTTCTTTTGAAAAAAAAAGTGATAAACTAGTGAAAATTAAAGAAAGGGTTTTACATAATAGGCCCCACCTCAAACTATTTTTAGAAGCTTTTGTAAACTAATTTCTTTTGATCACTCTTTTGCATCAGTAAAATGATTTTTTTAAACCAATAAATCATCATATACTAGAAATAGTTGTCTCACAGTGATACTGGTTTTTCTTTTGTGCTGTTATGATTTAACATTGGCAGGAGCACTATTTGGAATTCTCTTTTCGGGTGTTTGTAACTTGGCCCTATAATTAGGCTGAATCATGGCTTCAAGATATACTACAAGTTAACTTGTATTATTCACACCTAGCCTCTGTTTTCATTTGAAAGTATAGATTGTTACCCACTTTGGATTCTTTTTTAGTTATGTTTTTGTCTTTCTTAAATTGCTCAAATATTTTTTAGTGATCGAGTTATTAACACTTGAAAATCAGATACTGCACCAAATACAGTATTTTTTGGTAGTGTTTTTAATGAGTTCACCTATTCTTAATGTGCAAATTCATGTAACTGGTCATTGTTATATTACAGACTTGCATGATTAACCAGTTTGTTGTTATACTTTTTTTTTAATTGGACTATCTGTGACTCAGATCAGACTGGTTTCTCTTATGGAAATGCACACGTGCAGAAACACAGAATCAGTTTTACATGCGCATAAAGACATTTGTAAAGAATTCAACTATTATGGTTTGTTGTATAAATGTGTATTTAGGCACTTTATTATAAACTGGAATTTGACCTCATTGACGTTACAAGTTGATCAGTCATTTGACCTAATATGTGGCAGCCATCTGTATATTTTGCAATCAATACAGATAAGCTTTCCAAAATGATTAATGAAGAAACATCCTGCTGTTTTTGAATGTCTGTTCAGCTGTGGAAAAGACAAGCTATGGGTTCCTCTGTACTGGTGTTAAGGGGTTAAAGCGCTGTGTGCTGAGGTTACTTTTATTAAAAACTAGGTCTGCACAGGTGTGACTGGCCCTTGGGGGGCCTTTGTGGAAGGCTTGCAGCTGTAAAGTGTTGATCTGTGTTACTTTTTTGACATTCTCATAAGCTTAAAAGTTAATAACATTGGGACATGGTTTTGATCTTGTGCTGTACCTGATGACAGTGCAGAGATTCTCCACAGCTGGATAAAATGTCAGAAAGCTACTTACTGTACTGGGCAGTATCAGATTTCAAATCCTAGTATTTCAGCTGTGCTTTTAATACTCAAAATATTAGGGGTTGGGGTATTGAAGCTTTCCCCTTTTTGCTTTAACAATTTATAGAATTTAACAGATGTACTTCTTTCATGTGGCCTCACATTAAAAGTTATGAGAACATACACATGGTTTACAACTTTTACTATATACCTTTCCTTGGCCACCAAGTATTTTAAAAGTGTGCCACCTTTTAACCTTTACTTTTTTTCAAGTTAAAGGTGATAACTTTTTCTATATATGATGAAACTCATGTCAACTGAAGTGAGTGTAAGCTCGGATATCAACATTATTATATTTTAAAATCACGCTATGGAACTATCACCTGCTTACTGTCATTTGTCAGATTTACAGTACTTTTTTTTTTCTTTAACTTTTAGCATTAAATAAAAATAAAATTGGGATCACTGAACATTTTCTGAGGCCTTTTTTAATTTTTTAAGGTAAGCTTAGAATGGCTATTGTTTTCATCACTAATGGCAACATGGGACCAAACGATGTGTGGGTTGGGGGTTGAGGGTTGACTGGAGCTGCAAAAGAACAGGAGATGAAAGACAGAACAAAAGGGCAAACTAATCGCAGAGAAAAAAAAGTTAACGGACTGGGGAAAGGTCAACTGGATGGAGGAACAGATAAAGAGGAGAGCTGAACAAAGTACAGCCAGACAGCACTTGTTTGTTTCTCAACTTGCAGTAGAGCCAGCCATTCTGCAATAGTAGATTGGCAGAAGACTGACAACACTGAACAGACTGTCAGGACATGGAACTGCTCTCTGGGAAGCTTTGGAATGAAACAGCCACTTCAGGCCATATGAAACGCACTGAAGACAAAAGGGATAAGACACCTAACCTTTGGAAATCTTTGGAATAAAGTCAGAGCTAAAGACACGTGAGCTTTACTAAGTATCCTGAAATTAAATTTATAAATAGAGATCAAAGGTGGAAAGCACTAAGACAAATTTACAAATTGCTGGCTAGTATCACATAGAAACTTCCTAGATGTTTGCAGCTTTTACTGTTTGTTGATCAATGGCTTGGCAGACTTTTCTATGAAAGGAAGTTGTGAAAATTATAAAGAGTTTGAGAATAGAACATTTGTAGACTTTAATGTTCTAAATGAAACAGCAACATTGATGTATGACTGTATTTTCATTAGGGGTAGTCCAGTAACTTGGAGGACCCATCACTACATGTATTTTAACAACTTTTTAGTTAGTAGCAGGCCATTTAAGGCAGCTTTCAAGAAACATTTTTAATAAGTAATAGATTATAATGCACATGATATTGAGTAATTAGGTTAAGAAAAATGTTAAACTTTTAACAATGCAAAATTTTATTTTTGGTGAAATTTAAAACAGTGCAGCTTGCAGAAGTCATTTTTAAAATTTCAAAAACTCCTTCCAAAGTAAACTTTAATGCCTGCATTCACTTTTCAGTTAAAAACAAACCAGCTTCTTGATGTGGCAGATGTCTTTGTTTATTCCCTGAAGAGGGGAAAAAGTTAAAGGGGAAATATGGAATTACTTTTAATTCCTAGACTTTTAAGTCTCTTGTTACTCAGAGTTGTTTTGCATATGATTTATAGATGGTTTTATTTGGTTAGTGGAGAGTAAAATGTTTCTCTTCCTGATTCCAAAGTGTATACGTGGGATCATTCAGAAAAATGTTTAGTTGTGTGTAGGCCACTAGAAGTCCTGAGTCACCCTCATTTGCTTGCCTTTTCTTCATAGGGAACAGTGTGAGAAGACACGCCTTTCCTCTGCCACAGACTAAAGTCAAAGTCAGAGGCACCAGTGAATGGAATACATATTTACCTGCTTCATCATCTGGGATTCTAGAAATTGAGGGGTGGGGTGGAGATGCTGTTTAACTCCTTCAGTGCCACTGGTTAGGCCTCTACAAAAATATACAAAAATGTCAACTTGTGTGTTACTTAAGCCGTTGGAAGATGGAAAAAGACTGGATTTGTGGATTATCTGTAGATTTCTCTATTAACCCCTAGATAAATCCTTAATTAGGGATACCCACACTATCCCTGTTTACCATTAACAAATTAATTCACATACACCGTAACAGTGAAATTTGTTTTAACCGATCAGTCTTGTTACGCATGCCTTCCCCATGTCAATATAACTTAACATGCTTGATTTAAGAGCTTTCCTTTGCTGGTTTGGGGTAAAACTTAGATTTTTTTTTAGTTTATAGAGTATGAAATCTACATCTGCATCTCCATGAAAATCCTCCATGAGCTGATTTTTCTCCTAGGTCAGACAACGTCTAGAGATGAGACTACAGGATTCCTGGTTTAAATCATAAGCATCAATGCACGGGCTGATAAATGCAGAGAAGTGAAACATAGGGATAGGGATTGTCTGGGGCTGAATGAATTAGCATTTCTTTACAACAGCCTTGGTTTTGGGACTTCCATGTTCCCTGCGGCCTAAGAGGCTACCCATGAGATGCAAAACAGAAAGAGGTCGTTGGGTGTCTTTATGCAAGCTAAAAAGCCTCTTAACCCCGTTTTGTTATTTCTGCCTCCAAATAACAATTCAGTTAGCTTTTTGTGGTGATGAAAGATAACGGTTTGTTGTGCCCCACATACAACTGAAATCAGAATGTCACAGGAGAGTTGGTAGTTAAGTTTTGGAATACTATTCTTTTACCAAGCACCGTATAGAGTTATGAGTTGCTGCTGTTACTATTTTAAAACTAATTAAATATATCATTCAAGGCTTTGAACAGCTGAGAGTCAAGGTACAGCTCTCTTGGAGTGGGGCTTAAACACACTGGGAGAGGATGATGAAGGGCACCCACTGACGAAAGGTAACCACGAGTTGGTTTCCTTCCAGGAATTTGGAAGGTACAGTTAGGGCTGAATTCTCACAGGGAGAACTGAGTGTTTTTCTGGAACTTAAATCCAGAACCTCGGTAGGTTTCTGACATAGGAACACAGTCCTATATCCAGAGTGCTGTTACACAGTAAGTTCATTATGCACCTCGTAACTGTCAGGCACCAAAGGGGCCGCTGGATCCCATCATCTGCATACATATCCAGGGAAGTGGGAACATCGCGGCTAGGTCAGAGCTGTCACACTGTAGCTCTTTCTTTTTTTACTTTTTATTGTTGCTCAGAATGGCATTTTTTAAAAGGAAGAAAACAGCCGCCAGCTCTGCCAAGCCCTATTTACTCAAGGGGAAGGAAAGACGGGGAGGCTCCCTACTCTCCCGAAGCCTGCGTAAACGCCTTCGCCTGCGAGGACACCTCGGGGTGGTTTTCAGCGCGGCAGCATGACTCACGCCGCGCCCCTATTTATTTATTCCAGAACTTTAACCCGAGCCGAAGGGCCGGCGCACACGCCCAGACCTATACAGCGCCTCCAGCCCGTGCCCCGCGCTGCGCACGTGGAGCCGCGCGCCCCCGGGTAGCGGGCCCCCAGGAATGGGCGGTGGGGGGGCGGGGCTCGGCCCGGAAACGGCGGCGCGCCCCGCCCCGCCGCCCGCGAGCCAGCTGCCGCGGCCATAATTAGAGGGAGCCGCGACCGGGCCAAGCCCACACCCCGTGGTCCAGCCGCGTACCCTAGAGGGATGAGCCAGCGCGCGCGGGCCCGCGTGCGCCGCCGCCACCGCGCTCTCGACGGTCACTGCCAGGTGGACCAAATAAAGTAAAAGGTCTGGCTCCCGCTGGGCGAGGCCAAGGGAGCGCCTGCGAGCCGGCGCGGGAGTTAGTGGGTGGGAGTCGGGGTTGGCGAGCCCTCGGCACCCAGAAAAGATCAAACACGCGTCAACAACAGCCGGGGCTGCCGCCTGCAAGGGTCCCTGGCGCGGTGCATGCTGTCCAGGCTGGGTTTTCCAAGTTGGAGATGGCGCATGACAAGAGCTGCCCTAAATGTCACTCCCTTTTCGGAAATCATGATGCTGCCTTTTTTTTTCCCCCAAGACTTAGCTATAGTAAGGTAAATGTTCCGTGCTGGTGGAGTAAACATTCATGTTTAAGGGGCGTCTGTATTTACAGAAAGCACTCTGATGCACGTACGGTGCATGTTAATAAGAATATTTATTAAGCAAACCTCAGGACATGTCCTTTTATTCAAGAAACTTCTACTTCAATTAGAAAAAGAAAAAGTTTTTCTCTCATCCACCCAATTAACTTCTAATTCTTGTTTTTAATCGTTCAATTTAATCTTTGCAAAAACATCTCCAAAAATAACAGGCATGGCCCCCCCATCCTCTTAAAAAATGGCACTAAAATGACACACATTACCAACCTTAGAGTGGCGGCCTAGGAACTTGGCTGTGAGCTAAGTGTTGTATAATAGTTTTAGTCACTGTTGAAAAAGTGATTGCCTTGGGTAGATGGATGGGAAGCTAAAAAAATAAAGACTTGCTCCAGGCTTGAGAGTACCTAGACACAAGGCTAAAACACTTCCTGCATCAGCATTATTTTTCTTTCCAGATAACAGGCACAAGTGATTTAAGAAGATTGAAGTGGAAATAACACAAAACAGTCCACTCCTTATGTATTTTATCCAGGAACCTGGAAGGCTTTTCAGGGTGAAATTCGATTCCTAGGACATCATTCTTGCTCGTTTCCTGTGACTGTCTTGAAACAGCAGCACTCCTGTCACCAATGCTCTGCTCCGTCACAAGGACCCTTGAGAGGGAACTACGCAGAAATGCAAATTCAAGTTTTTATGGAAACCTACCTCAGAATTCGCTAGTTCCATCCCAAATCAACAAAGACGCTGGTACAACGGTCAGGAAATGTTCAGATGTTCTTGGGCTTTGTGTGGTCTTTTTCGGGTAATTCAACTAACTTTTGTTTCTATTTCGCTAGTTTTTTTTTAAGTATACCTCTTATGTACCTCAGTACGTAAGGAATCAAAGTGCTCAGTAGCTAAGGAATCAAAGTGGACAATCACCGTGACAGCTTTTTGTTTTTTTCATCCAGCAACCAGACAGGAGAAAGCACTAGATAGATGTGATACCCATTAGGTACTTGCACTCTGAATGTGTACCGCTGAAAATACAGACTCTTGAGACATTCTGTTAAAGGGGGTAATAGCAAACTGTTTGGAAACACTGGAGAGAATAGGCTCCCCCTGCTGTCATCACCGAAGATGCATCCTCTCTCAGGCTAGAGCATTGTACCTAGGACCCAGCGTGTACAAAGCCCAGTACCAGGTGATTTGTGAAGTAATCCTCACCTTGGATTTGCATTGTTTGGATTTGCACCTTGGGAGGTGCATTGTTTATCAGAGAGAAAATAAAAACACCGCAGATAAAGGAAAGGAACCTTTCTCTTAAAAGATTCTATGCTCAGATTTGTTTATCGAAGGGCCAGCGTATAAACCAAAATGGTTTACTAAAGTCCATTCACAGCTTTAAAAGCAATGGTATTTGCATGGCTGGTGGCAGAGTAGGGGGTATGTTTGAGCATATTATGCTTTTTAAAATAACCAATAAAATGATATGAAAAAAACATACATGGGATTTTGACCTTTGTAAAAATGTTGGATTTGTAAAAAATAATTTCATTTTCTTGTAAATCACACTTCTGTGCACATGGGCTCTTAGATCTGTAAGTAAGCCTTCAGAGTGCCACATATTTGTGACACTGGAAGGAATCCATCCATTCAATCTCTGGGTGACAAACATTGCCTGAACTGATCACTCATCAGCTGTTGCTGAAGGGCTGAGGACGTCTGTGGAGTTAGGTGGAAACTCTTCATGGATTAGATGAGTCACAAGCAGTTAAGGGGGAGAAGAGATGACCTGTGCATGGGCTGAGAGGTCAGAGAGGAGGGCGCACAGGAGGGGAAACCAACATCTGGTCATGCTGTTCAGTCATGCACTCTGGTTCATTTATTCTTTCTCTCTGCAAGTC